ATTGGATAACTCCGTTATTTTGTTTGCCTCTTTAGTCTTCAGTAAATAACTTTCTTCCCTTTTTGTCTTGCTTTCCCATTTGGTTGTGCCCTTTCTTGTTTTGCTTACATGCCCCACATCTCATCTTGCCAGAGAGGGATCCAGCTTTTGAAGCTTACTGATTGTCAAAGGAAACTACTTAGCATGTTCTTGCATTTGGCCTGGATTTGGTTGTTGTCTAGGTGGTGTCTAGGCAGACGTCTTACTCATACCTTCTGTGGAATGTTCTGAGTATGTAAGTTTCCTGGCCTTTTTGGATTCTCTACAGAATGCTTGATATTACATGTTAAAAATGATTTCTTGATACAGATAAAAATACACGGCTATAAAGTTTGTTAGGATGGAGTTAAGGTTTCTGAATTTGGATAAGTTTTGTAGTTTTACATACAAATTATTTCATTTTTCCTTTTTTTCTCCCAAGATATGTCATGGATGCAAAAGGTAGGGAAAAGAATTGGTGACAGATGTCTTACCACTGAAAGAGTGAATCAGGCCACAATCAAATGCCCTTCAGGTGGGACATGACACATAATCCACATACCTGCTCAAATCCTTTATTAAAGCAACAATCAAAATACAGGATGGAGCACATGGTTTTTTGTTTTGCTACTATAACATCAACTTAAAAGTCATTTGTTTATATCTTTAAATGATTTTTTAAAAGTGAGCATTTATAGCTCACAAAATCAACAGTTTGAAATTTCTGCCCAGATAAAGTTTTTCATCTTATTTTCCAATTTTAACAAAGGACATCCAGAACTAGAGATATAGCAAGCCAAACATAAGTACAAGCAAGCATCTTCTTCGACCCTAACTCACTGTAAGCAGCTCTATGGTATCTGACAGATACATTTGAAGGCTTTTATTACTGGTTAAATAAAATCAATTTATGCCAGAATATTCTTAGAACTATTTGTTTTCTATTTGTACATTCCCTAACAGCTTCATTTTTGATTGTGGTATTCTAAGTATTAGTCCCCTTAAAATTGGTATCTCTAAAAAATCTCGAAGATCATTATCATCCTCAGATGATACTTTCTTGTATAGCAGACACACACTCAGTCCTTTGGAAAACATATTAAGCAATTCTGTTTTGATTTTTCCCCCCACCATTGGTTTGTTTAATCCAAACTTGATTAATCACTGTAGAAACCCTAAAAAAGTCATTAGGAAAATGAACTTTGTTATCTACTGAGGGAGTTTTAAATGAATAAGTGAATGTCAAAATGACTAGTGTCTTGAAGGTATCAGGTGCTCAAAATATGTGTGCGAATATACAATGAGATTTGGTAGGTTGAAAGAGGACCAGTAAATTGGTTTAAAAAGCAAGAACAGAAACAGGGATTATAATCTTAAGGGAATGCCAACCTCTCTGTGAAGATAGGTACGGAATAGTAACTGAACTGTGCCGAGTATAAAATAGAGTATCTGAAAGATAAGTTAAATGTCCCATTTTCTTCCCAAATGAAACACTGAGAGGAAGTCCCCTGTTAACAGAACCACAAGGGCTGCCATTAAAGGAGTTTTAGCACTGACAGAACACTGTATTTCAACCTGTGACTAAGAGGTGTCTGATTTGATTTGTCTTTCTAAAACCACGTCTCCAGTGGCTGGGATGGGCGTTTTTATAGTTAAGCTGATTTGTGTTGGCTGCACTACACTGAGAGGGTGCCTGCTCACAACATGCAAATACTCTTTGTGCCTTACGTTTTCTTTGTGTGCTAAAGAGCTGAGCAGATCCTAGATCACCGATAAATAATGATCTAAGCATTAGACTTCAAACATGTCATCAGTCCATTAAATAATTTACATAGCCATAGTTCAATGCAGTCTTTTCGTCAAATTGCTTATCTCACCTTTGCCCTTCAAATGGAAACGTAAACAACACAGACTTCTACAGCTAAAAATGAAACAAACAATAAAAAAGGTAAAGGAAGGAAGGAGATTCCAGAATCCGTTGTGTGGGATGTCGGGCCTTTTAGCCTTACTTTTGGAAAAAAAAAAAAAAAAAAAGGAATGCTCGCAAGCGTCTGAGACAAATGGTTCCGGATGTAATGGCACAATAACGCTTGGGATGGGTGAGAACATTCAGATATTTTTAGAGCAATTTCTATACGTTATATGTCACATTTGGTTCCTAGAGATTTTAGTCAAGTATTAGTATTTCTTTTTGCCGAGTATGATATACAAAAAGATGAGAACAGTAGATGTGCCCTAAAGATATGAAAATATAATATATAAAACAAAACCATTATAAATTACATAGATTTTCAGTATAAAATTTTTTTTTCCCATTTAGAATAAATACCATCCAAGTTTACAGGTCATCAAAGTGAATTAAATATGCACACATATCTGAATCATTTTCAGAATTTCAAGGAAAAAAGTTGTTAGAGATATGACTCAGAAACCAGAAGCTGTTTGATATTGAGAATGACTACATAAGACCCAAAGGACATGGCTTGGGATTTAGTGTTAAGCTTTGCAGACTGCCCAAATGAGCCTGATGTGCATGCATGCACACAAGCACACACACCTACAGCCATACTTCTATGCATTTCTATGAAGCTGAACAGTTTATCTTTGAAAAATCAGCTGAAAGTCCCGAGGTCTTTCTGCATTTTATATTCTAGAGGGAGAACCTTTCTCATTTCATAAAGAAGCTGTAAGATGGGATAGGAAGAGCACAGAATTTCAGGAAGGAGAAATCTCCATTGTAAGCCAACCTCCTTTTAGGTTGGCTATTATTATATCAAGAGCTTTTTGATGCCTCAGAAGGTAAGAGTTTGGAAAATCTATATAATAATCTCCCCAGTCTTAAGAAGCTAAAACCAATCTGGAACATTCTTTGGTCTATACATTTCTGCTCCCAATTCATAAAAAATTTGCTGATTTTACATTTTTAAATCCTAATCAATGTCTAGATAGAACTGATGCCTTCTCCTGTAACTTCCATGTGGAAATCTGCACATGGGTCTGGGTGGAATGAGAACTGAACGGAAGGAGGAAAGTTTACACAATATCACAAAAAGAGCTTAAATCTCTGTTATTGTTTTGGGCAAACAGATCCACACGAAGAATTTGCTGACCTCCACAGCAAGTGGACAATGTTTATATTCTGAGAGTTGGAGGTAAAGCTGTTCTGCAACCCAAATACATAAAATCCTAGCCCAGAGAGCCCATCAGGAGTCATGCCCACTCCTGACTGCGGGACTACTAGTTGCTTTCCGTGACAACCCAAGACACTTCTAACTAGATGCCAGCAGTTCCGTCCTGGCTAAGTGATGTCTGACCAAACTCCAGGTCTTGTCAGATTGCCTTCCACACGAGTTATCTATGAATGAAGAAGCCCAGCAGGCCACCCCTAAAGCCAAACCCACTGCTCTCAGGCTGCAGAGCTAGACACATTCATCGTAAAATCGGAACCACAAAAGCAACCAATCTCCTGTATCCATTTTTGCTCCCAATGTTGTTTGTCTCTTGCAGTGGGGACCATGCCATCTTGGGAGACTACAAAGTTTCTAGAAAGCAATAAATGTCTGAGCTAGAAGGGATCCTGTGACTCATCAGGCACAACCCCCATATTCTGCCGATGAAAAAGATGAAACCCTGGAGAGGGAAAAGGAGTTGTCCAAGGTCACTTATCCAGATAGTGACGGAGTGAAGACTACACATCTCGGTCTGCTCTCTCTCTTTACACCAACGTGGCCCGTGTAACCTCCAATGTCATGACCCCATCTACTTGATGTGGCCACGACCCTCACGACAACTTTAAGGTTCTAAGTGAAAATGAAATACCACTCATTCTCACCATGATTAAATTTCAACTACAGAAGTGGTCCTAATGATGTTTTGGGAGAGAAGATCCACAACTTGCTTAAAATGCTATGATTATTTGAAATTGATCCTCTTTGAGTAAGTCATGCAGCATAAACAATGTGAGCTGAACCCAGAGAGAAAAGTGAAAATCTGTTAAGTAACTGGAAAGAGAGCAAGCATGATGATATTGGTTTGGTTCTGTGAGAGAGTGAGACCATTTAGATGGTACTCAGAGCCCATCTAGTCTGCCCCCTCTGACAGATAAGGAAACTGAGACCCAGACCTGCCCAAAGCCAGGCAGCTGGTTATTGGCACAGTCAGGTTAGGTGTTGGCCCTTGCTTAGACTGACTTTTTCTTCTTTCCATAACATCATTCAGTCTCGCGTGTAACTGCTTTCTTGTGAGACTAAAAAATAATTCCACAATCTGGCATGAAATTTGATGACACAGTTCCCTAGGTCTTTGTTCTAACCTTTCATTCTCCCCTTCAAGACCAACGAGTTAGCTCTGTGGTTTACAAAAGTGGACCTGGTTACACGGCTTCACAGATCTCTCTTTTGCTGCCCCAAATCCAGTGTTTGAGTCACCCAACAGCGTATGTCCCTGCAAGCCCTTCTGGGAAGCCAGTACTCTACAACCTGCAGGGATTCATCAGATGCCTCTGTCTTTGGAAGCAATACATTTTCCACATAAAGAATCAGTTTCTGTTTGTAGGATGATGTTACTTAACCATAAAAAGAGCAGTTTTCACGGGTAATATGGGTATATTCAACCTTTTACAATCTCCCTCCCATACTTCAGTTGAGCTCACCAAAAGGCTCTCAGAATTGGACAGGTAAACACATTTTTATTTGGCTATTAAAGTGCTATTCCTGGGCAAAGGCTTTTCTCAGTTTCACAACAGCAGCTTCATTGGAAACAAACAAACAAAAAAAGTAATGTATGAAAATAGGCTTGGGAAGTGACAAAAATAATGAGCCTAGTGACTACTGTGGAACGTTACAACTGACTTGTAGATATCAGCCCTGGCACTAGTGACTGATACCAAAGCCTCGGAGGTACATGTTCAAGGGGAAAATAAGGACAAAGGCTAGGAGGACTGACCTGGAGCACGATTAGCATTACTGTAACAGCAGCAGCTCCTCCATCTCAAAGGAACAGTGACAGGAAGAAAAACTGAGAAGAAAGTGCAACAAACCCATGTACGTGCATTTGCTATTGTAGCAGACCTATATTTTTTTTTTCTTAAGGAAAAGCAATGCAGTGTGCATTGGACAGGGCTCTTGACCTCAGAATATCTTACAGTAATATTCTCTTTGCCAAAAGGGCATCACCCATTAAGGTATTTGGCAGAGAAGAGCCTCTAAAATTCGTATCACGTGGACAGACGCCTTCTGTCCAGTATTATCAATTCTGCACCCTGATGTTTCTCAGATCCTTTTCTACTGGGGAAATTCCAGTCACATAATAAACTGCACTCAGGTGTTTCCCCTTTGAAAATGGCATCACTCCTACCTAAGGGATGAGAGTCTCCTGGTAAGGCTTAGCGGCAAGTGCGTACTACAACTGCACTACAAGGAGCAGCCCCTGATTTTCTTGATATGCATAGCTTTTCATAGTTGATATTAGACATGGCTTTCATAAATAATGCAGGTGTTTCTGTCATGCCCCACTGCTGGCTCTGTAGTTTCCAGGTGAGCTGGTGGCAGGACTCTATCCAATACCTCAACAGGCGTTGGCTCTTCAGATGTTAGCTCTGTGGATGTCATATCTGTAGAAGGCTCTGCAGTTTCTGGGGAATGTTCAGCAGACGGTTCTGTCTCCTCTTCATCTTTGACTTCAAACTGTACACCCTCTGGGTCATTCACGTGATCTTTTTTGGACTGTGGGTGCACAGACACCTTGATGGCAATTTGCTGGGGCTGCTCGTGCAGCGATGAGGCGTCCGAGTCTGCGGTGGGCGAGTCACTTCTCTTCAGAGAGTTTGGGATCGTGTAAACCTCATCCCTGTCTGAGGCCTCCTGGCCTTCTGGAGTATGCCGCACAAAATTCTGCCCCTGCTCCTCCAGCCCAACCACTTCCATGATTTCCTCCATGATAGTCCTACAGTTCATAATGAGGGGAGGCAGAGGCACACTCCTGGCAAGCTCTTCAATATAGCGGGCAAACTCCATTGTTTTGAACTGGGTAACTTTGGCAAGCTCTAGAGTTTTGGCTGAGGTGATGATGGGGATCCGCTTGGCAATCTCAAATGCCTTTTGCAGCTTCTCTGCACCTTCTGTCCTAAAGAACTCATTGATGGCTTTCTCGGTCTTCTTCAGGTGGCTGCTCATCATGCACAGGCGGGTGATGTTGAGGATCATGACGATGGTGAAGGCCACAAGGCAGACGACCATGTAGTAGACGCCCATGTCTCCAGAGGTAAAGATGACTCTCAGGGTCACCGTGTTGTTCACAGTGCCATGGACGTTAGAAGCAACACATGTGTATTTACCTCGGTCTGAAAAAGACACCTTGGTGATGTTCAGGAGGCCGCTGTCGTGCATCTGCCATTTTCCTGTTGGAAGGAAGAGTGGAGAATTCAACCAAGGACATACGGGTCCCCTCAAAGTGTCTACAAACTCTCACGTTACTAAAAGCATCTCTTACTACTACAACTACTGCTTCTGTTACTACAAATGATAATGACAATGGACATTTACTGTGTGCCAGACAGTGACACATACTAACTCATTTCATCTTCACAACAACTCTGTGATGTAGGTACTAATACCAGCTCCATTTCACAGGATGAAGAAACTAAGGCACAGTTAGATTAGACCACCTTCCCAAGGTCACCAGTTTGGAATGAGTAGAACTAGTAGATGAACTCAAGCTCAAAAGATTATACCTTTAACCCCCAAACCATACTATGGAATTCCACAGCCTTGCGAGAAATAGGAAAAATAAACCATCTGGAAAGTCCCGTGCTCTTATTAAAGAATTCCGTAAACGTAGCATCTGGTTTTCTAACCTGCCTGTGAGCATGACTCCTGTTGGATATATGTTCACTGGGGAGTTTAATGCTTCTCAGAATATAAAGTATTTTAGGATCAATGTAAAATCTGGAGTAAGTCAATTAAATTATAATTGTTTACCTGGATTTTTCATATTAGAGGTTGGAGTTACGCTTGTATGACCTCAGTTAATTAAAAAATAACATGTCATTTATTTTGAGAATTTACAAGGAATTGTTAATAGTACTTAAAGTTACAAGCTAATAATGTGGACATTCAGAGGCTGGGTATGAATTACTATCAATTTGTTTTAGCCTTGCAAATAAATTATAGACCCATCAAGTTGAAAAGAAGCCTCACATGATGGAGAATGCCTGTTGGTAAGTGCAGTTTCCTACTCTGGCCCGGAAAGGATCTAGTGTTGCTCTGGCAATGAGGTTCTGAATCAGGAGAAGCTCTTTAGTTGGAATTGATTCTAAGTCTGCCTGCGTACCCACACATCAGAAGACCCCTGGGAAACATGATATGATGTTTGGCTTCTAGGTCTTGGGTCTGAGCCTTTCTGAAACCCTACTATCTCCCTATATTGTCCTACAGAGAAAGGAGGGTCCAGATCAGGCCCCTTGGAAGTTCTGAGGAGCAGGCAGGCAGATATTTCCCCATAAAAGCATTCCAGTTCCCTAAGCCAACTGGAGGAACCTCTCCTGAGAGATGGGATAATTTAACATGTAGTTTCCCTTTTCAGCATCTATTATTGACTTATATATTTTTTTTGTTTGTTTCTTCCCCTTCTGACAGTGACTTTTCATTCTATTTAAAAGTCTGATATTTCTCAAAAGCAACAAGCAACATGTTCCCCTCCCCACCTCTTTTTTGAATTTGTGAGCACCTAAGTGACTACAGTCTCAAGGGACTATGAAATGAGGCAACAGAGGGCCTTCTTTTTTCCAGCATCTTCTGCTCCAAGGAACATTCTTAAGAAAGCTAGACGGAGCAGCAAGGTGCCTTCTGGGGGCCTACAGTTTCTCCTCCATGTTAGCTACGCTGGATCTGGCAGGACACCTCTCGTCGATGCTGTCCTATCCCTTTGCTTTCTGAAAGAACATCTGTGGAGAGTGGTTCCTGGTGTCCCTGAGTAACCCTTTTCTAACAATTCAGCCAGTGTATTTTCCCCAAGAGTAGAAAACACTGGTTTGGAAAATCTAGTGCATTTTCAATTTGTTGTGACTGTGTCTTAACAGACAAAGCTAAGCACCCAGTCTGTGAAACGGTGTCTCGTTCAGAGTGGGCTGGGGCAAGCCTTCCACCCTCTTCGTTCCCTCAGCATGGATTTTGATACTTCAGCTGCGGATCTAGCCAAATATGGAAATAATCTGAGGCAAGGGAAATCATTCATTGACTTTCTTAAAATTTACATGTTCATGAAAGTGGACGACAGCAGACATAGGAAAAAAGCTCTAGTTGATTGAAAGATTATGGATATGCAAGGTATTTGGTTCCAAAGAATTACAGACTATACTCGTAGTTTCTCAAATTTACCTTCCTTCTTTTGTTGGAAAATATAACGGAGAATAGGATGGAAGAGGGTGAGGTGAGGTTATTTGTATGGGGAATGGTTAGGGTCAAATTGTCACCTCCTAACCACCCATGGCCACTCCTTTTATGGAGGAATTACCTCCAAAGTAGTCAGAACCTGGGTGTAGGAGAAGGAAAGCAGACAAGAACACTAAACTAAGAAGGCAGGTATCCAATGGTACTATAAACAGCTTTCTCCTCATACTTACTAAGAATTACAGTGATAACTGTATTCTAATTGTTATGGGTCACAAGCAGGTCTTTGGTAGCCAACACACACACACACACACACACACACACACACACACACACACACACATGCTTCTAAAGACTACAGTGTCATAAGAGCTAAGATACCAACCTTAAAAGTGATGTACATCTGTATCATTTTTTTTTTAAAGGCTGATACTAAGACTATAGAGTTCCTCTCAGTCTCAGCTTGACCTTTGATTAGTGGAAAATAAAGCTTTCTGCATGTTCTACTACCATTTGCAGCCCTGAAAACTAGGAAGATGGCACAAATTGCACTTTAAGGGTCCTCCCACATCTTTGGGCCCAGGCTCACGAAGACTCTCCATATGGAACCCAGCAGCTGGGATCATCCTGAGAACATTTTCTCTGCTGCACACTGCCATTCACCTCAGTCTATAAATACCTTGTCCTAAGACTCATTCTGGAAGGGTCCTGACTTTGGCTTTAACTTTAGTTAACAAAACAAAAATAACCCACAATGACTGTCACAGGAAACCATCAGGGCTATACATGGAGTGGGGATACAGTGCTGTTCTCGTGTATTTAAGATGGTAATTGAGTGGGAATGTCAAAGTTATGTGTTGAATTTTCATTAAGTTGCATCTCTTCAGCACAAATAAAAACCTAAAATGTCAGCAGCTGATGCCAAGTCGGTTCTACATGCAATGACTTTGGAGGAAAGAAAGAGGCGGATGTTTAACCATGACTTTCTGAATATATTACCAAAGATGATGTGCAAAATGTCTCTCTAGCACCCTTGCCAGTGGTTCACTTATTCAAGTGCTGCGCCTTGCTCAGATGGTGGCTCCTCCCTCGGAAAGCCCGTCCCCCACCTCCTCTGGTCCGGCTGTGGTCCTGTAAGGGGACCCTCACCTGAAGGCTTCATGCTAAAATACTGCCACATGCAGTAGGAGAAGGGCTGCTAGAGTCTGCTCTGCTGGAGACCAGAGTTTGCCCAGGAATCTGTCACAGTCTCCCCAAGAAACTCCAGGCACAAGAACCACATGTGAAAATCTGCCACGTGCGAACAGAAGTAGTGTGATGACAATCTCTCCTTTGCATAGGGAAAAGCTGACAGATGTTATTTCTTAGCTGTACTGCAGTGTGTATATTATACGGCACACACACACAAAAAGCTGACATTTTTAGAAGGGCAGTGATCTTTTTTTAATCTTGTTCATGCATTTAGTCAACAAATATTATTGAGTAAATTACGTTTGCACCAGGTTCCACGCTAGACTATGCAAATACAGAGACGAGTAAGACAAGATCCCCGACTGAGAAAACCATCCAGCCCAAGGAGGGCACAGACTGCTACAAACAACTGTGGATCACTTGGCAAAGGCGCTGGCCCAGGGCAGTGGGACGGAGCACCAGCTTCTTAGTGAGGCATGGGGCACCAGGCCAGGGTGAGGGCGGGCTGGAGGGTGCAGGCAGGAAGGGGCTGCTGGGAGCCTACGGGTAAAAGGGGGAAGCCAGACAGTGCTGCTCCAGCCGACAAACCGACAAACGGTGTCTAACACCAAGAGAAGGGCTAGGGTGGAGACAGGGCTGAGAGGAATGCAGGGTCAGAATGTTAAAGAGCTTCGTATTTATCCTGTGGGAGAACAGGAACCTCTCACCCTGCAGGACTTCCCCCTGACAAGCCAGCCTTATTTCATTTCTTAGAGCTGCCACAGGACCTTCCCACATGCTTCCTCTCTGCCTGGAAAGCTCTCCTCCCTCCCCACTCCAAGCCCTTAACTCACACATTCTTAGCCCAGTTTAGATACCACCTCATGTCTCATCGTGCTCCCTGAGAAGGCCTTCTCTGACCCCCGATTAAACCAGTGCAGAAAATCATTAAGTCCAGAAGCAGATGCCAGGAAGCATGGGAATTTTAAAAATAAGGAAGATATTTCAAATCAGAGGGAAAGAATATTGGGATAATTGACTATTCATTTAAAAGAAAATAAAGTTACACCCCTATTTTATGTGATACATAAACATAAATTCCAAGTATTCTGAAGATCTATAAAAGTATAAAATTAATAGAGGATATAAAAACATTTTTACAAACTGGGGATAGGAAGGCCTTTTTAAGCATTTCAAGAATCCCAGAAACTGTATAGAAAAACATTGATGGATCAGATTTCTCTGAAATTAAAGTCTTTACACTATAAAATATATCATACTAAGTAAAATTAAAAGCAAATGACAGAGTGGAAGAAAACTCTATTTGAATATTTGACAATGCTGAATAAGTATAACACATTAAGAACTCCTATAAATCAAAATAACCCAAAAGAAAAAAATGGGAAAAGGTATGAACAGGTAGGTCACAGAAAAAAGAAATACAAATAGTGTCTCACTCTAAAAATCACTAATGATTACATTACAATGGAATTCAAAGAGATTAAAGTAATTTTTAAAAAGGTAACTTTTTAAGCTTTCAGAGTGCCAGGAAAAGCAGGGAAGCACAGATCAGACAGGATGCTGAGAGAATGGGGAAAGGGACGCTCACACACACTGCAGGTGGGAGTTGGGCTGGTAAAACCTTTGGGAGGTTGATAAGGAGACATCTGTCAAAAATTCAGAATGAACGCAATCTATGACCCACTTTTAGATTTCTTGAAACTCTTCAAATCAGACAAGCCTAAATTGACTGGAAAAATATTAATGAATGTAAGAAAATCAAGGTAACAACAACAACAAAAAATCTCCTTTTCAAGATAGTTTTTCTCTGAGGAACATA